GTGTGTGTGTGTACCATCAGATCAGATCTGACTGGTACAGGAGGAGATTGTCCCTCCTTCTCCAGCAGATCATCTGGTGGATTTGAACCACGCACCTCTAGGATTGCAGTGCAGCTTCTTGCCACTAGGCCACCAGAGCTCCCCTGGGACTAGCTTGTTTCTTTCTTGTTAACTTTTTTTCCTAACAGTATGGAGCCTCTTCACGATTCCTCTGTCTCCCCCCACTACCATCGGCAGGCTTTGGTCCCCTGGACCAGGAACCCGGAGCTGGCCGGCTGGCCTCTCAGCGTCTCGGGTCAGGGCATCCTGGGTCGTCATCGGCTCTACCTGACCACCACGGCCCGTGACTTTCGCACCTTCCTGAAGTGAGCACACGTGCCCTGGTCTCACTGCCCCTTCTCTTCTCAGTCCACCTCCCCCGTGGGTTCCCCTTCTCTGTCTCGGGAGACTCTCAGCCTTCGGCTCCTGCATACCCAGAAACCAGCAGTTCAGACCCCAGACTCTGTGGCTCTTCGGGTGCCCAGGAGCCCCTAGTGTCAGTTTCAGGCACTGACTGAGGTAGGGACTGCTAACAGCTAGAGGGGTCCGTGTCTGAAGGCCCATTCTGAGGGTCCATGGCTGGCTTCCTTCAGAATCTGGACTCCTGCTACTTCTTCCCATGGGTGAAAATGTACCCCAATATCTCTAGGAGCCAGTATTCCAGGCTCCGAGACCTCCACTCTATTTTCCCCAAAGGGTCTTAGGCCCACTTTGGGATTAAAAAAAAAAAAAAAGGTGTGCTCGCCCCGGAATGCAGTTCAGGTCTCCTCAGGGCTTGAGTCCAGTGGTCTCCCCCTCACCCCCCAATCCAGGAAGGAGTTGTCGGGATATCCAGGCCATAGCTCGCCAACCTACATGACCTTCACAGAGACGCTGCAGGCTTGGAACCCCGGTTCACGGTGGCCGCGTCAGCCAGCTGGGCTCCCACGGGTCTGGGTACCCCAAGTGCAGAAGGCAGTGCCGCACCGTGGGATGCTGACTTTAGCCCAGGAGTCCTACAGCCCCCCGCTGCACCGGCTCGAGGGGCCTGACTGCCAGCTGCAGGCGCCCTGGGGCAGTCCCCACCGGAACCCGGTGCCCGCCATCCACAGCGTGCCTCAAGCCTACGAGACCGAGAGTTCCTGCTATGGCAGCGGCAAGCCCGCCCTGGTCACAGCCGGGGCCCAGCCGCGCCCCGCACAGGCCCCCAAGCTGGGCAGGGGTTACCAGTGGCCATGCAGGGCTGGGACGTGCCCCCTGGCCCTTTAGACACGATCCACAGGAGGACAGGACCCCAGTAGTGGAAGGGGCGGGCAGGGTTTGCCTATCAATGATGTTATCAAATAGTCTTGACTAAACCCGAGTTTGGGGTCATGCCAGTCAAAGGGTAGAGGGCGGTCCGTCTAAATCTCTTGGGTGAGTGGCCTTGCTGCTGGACAAAATAACGGGAAAACCCCTCTGACGAAGCCAAAAAGCAGGTGGCCACCCTACTGTCCTCTGAGGCCTCAGCCTGTCCCCACCCGTCTGTCCCCATCCCTGTCCAGAGGAACTAGCTCGAGATGGACTGCGGTGGGAGGCGGCATAGGAAGGGGAACCAGCTGAGCACTTCCTCGACAATAAACCCTTCTTCCTTCACCTCAAGCTCACTAGTAGCATGAGTCAGGTCCCTGTCACCTTGTCATGCGCCCCCACAGGGGTGGACATTCCTTGATCTTGTCTGCCTCTCGCCTGGAGGGATTAGTGTCCAGGGTACTTCACCATGGCCCCGAGGCTGGTGGCCTTGCCACCTCCGCGGTCGGCAGGTATAAAGGCAGGCGGAGGAGGGAGGAGAGACACCCAGGATGGAACCACTTCAGGTAAGGCAGAGGGTCTGTGCTGGGAGCTGCTCCTCTACAGCGAGGGGAGTCTTTGGAGATGGGAGGGAGGGGATGACCGGGCCCTGGGCACACTCGGGGGTGGGAGTGCTGGAAGGACGGGATGTGTTGTGTCTCGGGGCTCAGCCGGGGTGGGGGGGGCCCTGCGTGGTCTGAGGTGCTGCCTTGCCCAGGGGCTGCTACTGTGGTTGCTGCTGGGCTCGGCAGGGGTGTGGGCAGCCAGGCTGAGGCCGATGTGTCGGCCGGTCAACGCCACTCTGGGGATAGAGAAGGAGGGCTGTTCCGTCTGCATCACCTTAACCACCACGATCTGCGCCGGCTACTGCCCCAGCATGGTGAGTGGGACGCCGGGGTGGCCGGTGGCCAGCCTCCGGGGGCGGTGCTGTGGGGGGCGGAGGGGGTCTGCGGTGAGGACCCAGCTCCAGCCCACAGCCCTGCCTGCCCCCGCTTCTGACCTCTAGACGCGGGTGCTGCCCTATGGCCTGCCACCGTTGCCACAGCCCGTGTGCAGCTACGGCAAAACGCGCTACGACTCCATCCGGCTGCCCAACTGCCTGAACGGCGTGGACCCCGTGGCCCACTACCCTGTGGCCCTCAGCTGCTGGTGTAAGCCCTGCAACTCCAACAAGCTGGACTGTAGGGCCCCCAAGGCCCCATGGCCGACGTGTGGCGGAAGCCCAGTCGAAGGCTACCTCAACCCCTAAAAACTGCTTCTCAGCCCCCCGCAGCCTTATTCACTCCCGGACCCCGCAGCCGCCCTGCTCGCCTCCTAATAAAAGCTGCTCAAACTCTCACTTGATGGATGTGTCTGGGGGCCGGAGTGTACACACACCCTCACGCAAGGGTCCAGTTTGAAAACCATTTTTTTTTTGAGAACCATTTTATACAAAGTCAAAGTCACAGTGCAGAACTCAGGCTAGAAAAGGGGGTGTGGAGGGCCATCCGCTCAGGAGGTGTCCATGGTCTCGCCTTCTGTGGGGAGAAGGGGGAGCATCGTGGTCAGAGCAGGCCAGAGGGCGTCTCGCCCCTCTCCCCCCGCTGCTGGCCACTCACTGAGCTCGTTGAAGAGGAAGGCGTCCTGGTACTCCTTCATGTACTGGGTGGAGCGGGACTCGTCCAGGAACAGTGAGTAGACCCTCTTGATGTCGTCCACCTGTACTTCTGTGCCCTGGGTGGGCGGGCACAGTCTTGGTGAGCCCCCCTTCCCCTGCTGCCCCCCCACAGCCCAGCTCCGGCCATCACTCTGGGCAGCAGGCGGCACCGGGCTCCCCACACCTCGCTCAGCGCCCAGGCCCTCCAGGCCCTGGATGCTCGACTCTCAGGGCCTCTGCTCACACCCGAAAAAGTGGTGCCTCCCCAGGGGCCCGCTGGGGGGGGCCGACACTAATCCCCACGCCGCCCACCAGCTCACCTTGCGTTTCCGGCACACCAGGCTGGCGGCAGTGATGAGCTGGATGGCGTAGCGCAGCGAGGTCTCCAGCCCAATGCGAGTCAGCACCGTGTAGGCGTCCTCGCTCATCTCCACATCCTCTTCCTCACACCTGCGGGGATGGGGGAGCTGAGGGGTCACAGAGCTGTGTCCACCCCGACCCCGGGAGCTGAGGGGTCACAGAGCTGTGTCCACCCCGACCCCG